GTTGTACTTTATCGGCACCCGATTAACCGAAGGGTCGATTTACCGATTCGATCCCATATAATCGATCTATTGTGGCGTGTTGACAGGCCTCTTACAAGTCAAGTACTAATGTTTGGTGGAACTACCTACCTGGTTTGCCCTTTTTCTTGTGCTTTCAGGAGACGTTCAATGTTTACATTGAGCGGCTCCTGATTGTAAATATTTATATTTGCTTGATCGCTGAAACTGGACAAACCGGTATTGTTTATCCCAGCGAAATACAGCAAAAATGGTTGAAGAATTATTAATTCTATGTTTGAAGGACATGAAAATCTACTGAACTCGTTGGAGTGGTTTCTTGGGAAATTTAAATGAGGTATTATTTAATTCCCTTTAATGGGTCACCTTTGCAATGCTGATATTTTTTGCGGCTACCTAAAGGGGTTAAAAGTGTCAATATATGCGACCCCGAAGGCGGACACTAAATTGCTCATTAGCGGGAACCAGTTCATTTCGAAGGTGACCATTAAAAGTCGATCTTTCTAATGTGTGGTTAGGATAGACAGGAAATGGTCACTTTTTGCCCTAAATCCGTTTAATTAATACAACCCCACAAGGAACGTTAAATATACAGCACGTTGATCACTCATCTTTACACAATATGGAAAATTTCGTTTCCAGGGATAGAATTATAATTAGTGCTCCTAGTGATAATGCTAGATTAAACGTGGTTGAATCATGTAAATATCTAAGTATAATTAATCGTGAAATAAGCACAAAGAGTATATTTTTAAAAGTAGCAAAGTTATAGCATGTTTCGTTCTATTTAGTTTGATTGCAATGCCATAAAGTGTATAGGTACATGATGTCATAACAAAGGATGGTTCTTTTGTGATACTTCGAATACCGCAAAGATTCACAAATGAAAGATTCTTCCGGAAATTTGCTCAATCGAAATCACGTCCCAAAACGAACATGGATTGTGATGTATATTTACCCTTACCAAGTAGCTGTTTCATAAACACTTTATACAGGCGTCGAAGTAGAAATTCAATTCAATTTTGCTCATCAGGACGATCTACGATTGCCGTTTAAGATTTAATAGACAAATAAAATAAAATGTACAAACATTACAGAAACACGGCAATACTGAAATTATTTCTGATTTGATTTGCTCCGTATGTTCTTCACTTTATTTTAACAGCACTATTCTGCATCTATCTGTAATACTTGTTTTGAAAGAGCTAAATTTAAATATACGTAGAAAGTGGCAATGATTTGAACATTATAGGAAACCTCAGGTAAAGCAGATTCATTGGTATCAGTTCTTCTGTTCGAGCAAGATTGGATTTCAGTATGTGGACATTTGCCGGCTAGAAGCAACAAAATAATAGGAAAACTAAAATCCTAGAATATATTTTGTGTTATATGTGTTTAGTTTGCACTATACGACAAGCAAATATCTAAAATTTGAAATATGCAAAATAAATACATTTTTAATTGAAAACTAATCAGAACTTTATATGGTTTACATACAACAAAACATGACAGCACCACAAATTAACAGAACATTTCAGTGTAGAATCTTACTAAAATTATATTAAGGGGAAATGGACTTAAATTCGGCAATTACACGTGTTTTTGGAGTGATAATCGTTATATTAATGAACAGTTACACTTAGACGAAATGGTGCAAAGTGGTTTCATTTGCAGGAAAATAGATCTGAATTTTTCCAACCTATATTTCTGGTATACGTTCATAAACAGTGGGCAAATATACAAACGAAGAGTCACATTTGATCCCGAATGAATCATACCTAAATGTTTAAAAATCTTGCGTAACGCTAATAGAATTTTGAACTTTAAACATAGATACAATGGTGGACATAAATGTCAGAAAATCCAATTCTAATATATATAAATATATCAACTTTGTAATTAGGTACTTTTGTCCCTCTGTATGTTCAATTTATGGATCCCCGATCGATAGAAATCAATGTTGCGCCCAACCAAATCGGGATTTATGCATGACTTAGTCTATTTATTACTTAATACCTCTTTAGGAAACCTTTTCACAACATCTTCGAGATATTAAACCAGTTTTATTGAACTTTCCCTACTTGTTCTTGATTAAGGGAAATTGACCTGACAATGGCTCTTTCGCCTGATATTCACTACAACTTTCTTTCAGCTCAAACATTTACTGAAACTATCAGTTTCGCGCTCATATTAATAAGAAACCACGTACGTACGAACTACGTAGAAACCTACGAAAGTTGTGATAAAAAATGTTGAAAACAATTTTGAATTAAACTCGGTTGGGAGGCTTTGGAGTATTTTTTTCAATCCCTTTCAACACAAGCCGTGGTATTTCCATGCAAAACACTTAGAAACCTTATAATTTTTCACAATAAGTTTTTCATATTTTCAATGTACCTACTATCTTATCACTTCATATAAAGAATTGTTCATAAAGCAGCCTAATTCGCAGATTGAATGAAATGGGTCCCAATTTCACATTTACGACGGTTAAATTACTTTTCCTCTGGTTCTTGCTGCCGATTTTCAAACGATTTGAGTTGAAACTATGGAGAAATGAAAACGAGCTGGTGAATAAATCAATCACCACCATATATTTTACAGTGACTTCCAGGAATATGATTTATATTTAAAATATCTAAATGAAATGTCAATGGCAATTGAAATTGCCGCCTGCTATGGGAAAATTGTGGGGTATTTAAGTGTGGTATGCGCCAAAAGACAGCCGCTTGATCCATTTTCAAATTTTTACCACTGGGAAACTATGTAATTAAAGCAGCGCAAATTGACTGGAAATAACTCAATTAAAATTCAGGAATGGAGTCCTATTATGCCCACCGTCGATTTCGCGCAAACACCCTGTGTAATAAAGCAAACTGACAGAGAGCTAATGAAATAACCGCGAAATTATGACCGTTCCAATCATTCATCAAGCTGCCACTCCTGAATAATTAACCCACGAGTATCTCACCTACTTGCGCGAACCTGATTTTTTCTGGTTTTCAGGCAAATTTTATATTCTCTAATGATGGGTATTATTCATGGTTATTATCGTGTGAAAAGCATTAATCTTGCATGTCTTGAGAACTGTCCCACCCGCTGTGCCGAATAGAACATCAAAAGCTTCAAGACTTCTTCTGAGGTTCACTTGAACACCGCTGCTTTATCTGTAATGTAAAACATGCATTCAAAATGTACAACGCAAGAAGAAACCTTGGGAATTGGCTTTTAACAAAACAATGATTTGCAGCAATATATTTTAAAGTTTTTGCATACATCAATATAAAGTTTGATAAATGTATAACAGTGCTTCCACAGCTGCCCTTTTACGTCCAAAACGATCCAGTTAACGATCAAATTCTAAAGTTGTACCATGTACATTAAGGCCATTTGAGCAATAGAATCTAAACAATATTAAAGTGATCTTAAAAGAAGTCCACTTCTGTTAGTCAGCATTTTTCTGAACGAAATTGATGATTCTTGTTCTCATATTTCCTATGTAGTTCTATACCATACAGCTAGGCATATGCATACTCAGCGGCTGATGAGCATTAACATAAAAATTTGTAGATTAAATCTAATTTATTACTATGACGAACCCACATGCATAGATGTGCCGCACTATTGTTCAGGCATATGCAAAAAACCCGACAAAATAAACAATATATTAAAATTAACCCGACGAAAAAACATCCCCAAGGTAACTCCATATCGTCACATGTCCACATAAAAACTGGTCCTCCGCATGGGAATCGGCCGCTGGGTTTGTTCAGATCCGCGGCATTTTTTATTGTCCTTTCATTAGAAGGGTTGACGAGTACGTCTAATGTATGCGCTCGCATCTCATTAAGGGATGAACCGTGAGAAGCGGAAGCCGGGGTGGATCGGGATAAATGTCGAGACAATGGTTTTTATTTCTAGTTCTGCTCGCATATGCATATGAGACATTCCGGAGCATTCAGGTTGGAAAATCTGAAACCAGTTTCAAAACGTACGTGTAATGCTGAAACGTTTGAATGTTGTTCATTCCACCACCTGGTAAAGTGCATTGGAAAGGGTGGTTCCAGTTAGGCGAGAACTTATGCAAGAAAGTCTTGGGTTAACACGAACAATTAAGAGAAAAGAAAGTGTAATCATGAGAACTGTTAGATACATTGTGCCCATATGCATCATTTCTGTTGCTATTTTGAGACAATAAATCGATAAATGCATATTAACTTTATGGGTATAAGTTTAGATAATGCGCAGTAAATTTATCTTTTACTCTTCAATTGGGAGAAATTTCATCTTGAGCTGTTGATGTTGCTTAGAATTTTACATCCCGAAAAAATGCAAAACTGAAGACAAAGATTTCAGATGGTCTCCATTCAAAGAAATTGTACCAAAAACCGAAGAAACTTTGCATTACCAGTTGTGATATATTGAAATACAACAATTTATATTGTCTTATTCCATCTTGCGCAAACGACTTGATTTCAATAATTAACATATTTTTAGCATTAAACATTTGGATCATATCAATCTAAATATAAAAATTTGGTCATCCACCACCAAAATTTTCGTTTAAAAGTCATAGTTGTAAATTTTGCAGCTTTGTTAACAGATCTAATTCTAAATAGTCAAAACGCTTTTGCCCCTGTCTACCACTTACCACTTGCAACTTTTATTATTGTATGCAAAAGTTAGAGACGTTGCATTTGTGCATTCAAAAACTATGTTTTTTTAGCTCTTGTAAATATCCAGTAGATATTTTTTCGTGGTTTACTACACCTGTACAGACGGTTTTTTTATTGGTTTATAATCCCAATCTTTCAAATAGTAAATTTGCAAATAGAAATTTTTCAACGGTGGTTTCTAAAGAATGACAGCGAGTTTTTAAAGACTTATATTATTACTATTATTATTTATAAACTGAACAAGCTGGCAGGAATATGAAAAATTTTCTTAGAAATTTAATTTGTTTCAGCAAGTCAAACCTACTACTTTGCCCAGTTCCAAAGTAAAATGTCGAAAATATGCTCGTTTGAAACAAATGTTGGCAAGAAAAATTCTAAAAAATCACAAAACTTATCAATACTTAAGCCTTACTACTCGCTGTTTTCTAAGGCAGTAAGAGAAACTTATAAACCAAATAAAACTATTCAGTTCCTCGAAAGGAAATTATTTTATATAATTTTAGCTGGTGCTGATGGACGGATCAAGATGAGAATAAAACCTGACTTCATTTAAGCAAAGCAGTTTTGCACAATATCCAAGCTATAGGTATTTATAAAATATTTTCAAACATGTAACGTATTAAAGCGAGCGTTGCATAAAAACTACATGTTAAATAGATGTAAACAAAATGAACATTACAATGAAAAATTGCCCATTGTTTCCGATAACATTGTGTGAAGAAATGTCTATACCTACTCGCCATTACCAGCAGAAAAATTTGTTATAGAAAACACATATTATTTTAATGGTTAATGTTAACTAAATGATTGGCATATATTATCAGGGCCCCAGTGAAAGTCTGCATAGGATTCCAACATCGAAATGGTACATGATTTATTGCCATTTGTTTTAATGTAAATGATTATCTATAAATACAGATGCTGATTAAAGTCACGAGACTCTAAGCAGGTTAAAGGAATTGTGAAATAACTTATGTTTTTCCATGTAGCTTTAATGAGCCACAACATTATATTCGATGATTTTCTCAAACTGTTAAACAGTTAAAAACATTCATTAGTACAAAAATTATTTTACATTTTACTTACGCAACATTCGCATGCAAACATTGCATTTTGTACAGGCTTTTGGGATTAAAAAAGTTTAAATTCAAGAACTGAATTTCAGCTACTTCTTATTTGGTTATTAATAAGCAACTTCTTCGTAATAGTCTATGAAATATTTTCACATGAATTATAATACACTTTGAAGGTGTTTTTCCTTTTGTAAACTTTTCCTGCTTTGAAACCGTCAATGGTCAATAAATCATCTACTTAGAATTGTTTGATTTATGTTTAAAAAAATGTTATTAATTTCCAGCAATTAAATAAAACTGTTATGTAAGTATCTGTAGATTGTAGATCCTGTACATGTCTCGTAACAGCTACACAGTATTCTCTACTAGCTAATTTAATACGGCGCCTTCAACCTGACAGCAACGTAAATATAAATACCTTATTATTTTACATTAATTTGTTTATTGACTTTTTCCACTATGGGGGAGCGAAGGTTAAACTGGGAGAGCATTTAATCAGTTGTTGACTGTATGTATAAATATAAATATGTTTATTATTGGATTTATCAACCAAAAGGTAACATCATTCAACTTGCTATTGCTGTTTTTGCTAATGCCTATGATATAAAAAATTGCGGTATAATTGTTTACTTAAAAAAATAAGGAAACCGTTAAATGATAAGAAAAAATATTTTGAATTGTCCTCAGAGTCTCGGATGTTTTATTGGCAAACACGGGTTGTGCAAAATAGCAAACATTTAAATATTTTAATTTAAGGCTAATTTTCTGCGACCGTCCAACCAACAATTATTTTTGAGTTTTCCTATTCTGCCAGTCAGAACAGCCAGATTTACTGTTTGGTTGCTCTTCAAACTGTAGTCATGCGATTTATAAATTGTAATGAATAAATAAGTAAAAAAAATGCTTTTTCAATTGGTTTACTTATGGTCTTAAGTACTCATATAACTGAAAAAATCAAGTGATGCAATAGCATTTAATCTAAAATTTCAAGTAACTACTCCTTAAATAAAACAGTTCGTTTAGTATATTAGGTATAATATAAAGACTCACTGCAGGTCTGCAAACTTTAAGGCATGAGTCGCAAAAATCACTCAAACATATTGAGCTTATAGTGATAATTGGTAAAATGGTCTTAGAAGTCACTTTTAAGGCGAATAACTAAATGACCGTTTTGGGCTGTTGGCTTTAAACGCAGATTGGAAAAAGTCATTCAAAAGATTTGCGCCAATTATTGAAGACTTACATAATGTGAGCCAACAGTTTTGTCTGAGACATTTATTTTCCATTTTACGAAAAATATCAACTCAGAATTCATGCATCTTATTTCTCAAGATTGTTAAACTGTGGTGTGAAAAAAAATTCATTCTTGGCGATTTTCGTACCTCGTCAGTTCATGATTCAATCAGTCTTCGTTGGTTGTTTGTCTATCCATTTCTCTATGTGCATCCGTTCACTTACCTACCAATTTTGGTTCGTTCTGCATTGCTTCAAGACTAAAAATGTAGTAAATATCAGAGTAAATAAAACAACATCTAACTGTCTTTTACTCTGTAGTCCCCTAGCAGTGTATCGTATTGCTAAGTATTCGTATTGAAGGACGCTAATATGTATCTGTTTAACTATGCACAGTCGTGATTGCAATATTAGCAAAAAAGGCGTTTGAAAAGAAAAACGAGCAAATTAACCATTAATATTTATAACGTATTAAAACTTACACCGGCGTGATTAATTCACTTAGCTCTTAACTTGTTTAAGGCAATTCCCTTTGCTACTTATTCTTTTATGAAAATGATTTACGGCTATAATTTACGGCTGTGCTCAGCAAGCGAATGGTCCATATTGAGCTATTTACTTTTCAGTGCAAAGCCAGCAAATTTAGTACAAATTGCAAAAAATAATCGACGTAAATGTAAAGTTTAAACTGCAAACAGTAAAATCGATATTAATGTTTGGTATTGCAAAAAATGCATGAATCCAAATATGTCTGTGATACATAATTCCTACTTCTAGGGAATTAAAAACTGGTTCAACAATCAATCTCCTATCGTTTTCAAGTAGTACGTTTAGGTGTTGCAATCATAATATTGAATATTTCCAAAAGACAGTTGTAAAAAATTGAAGCTTTTTCAATTAAAAATTGATTCTTGCATATGGAAGTCACATAATGGAAGGATGTTAGTATCGGAAATAATAATTGTTCTCATAGCACTTCAAACTGTTACTTTTTTCGAACTCAAATGCTGCAAACTTTTGTTTATAGTTCAATTCCAAATCGAACAAATCAACATAAGGGCAGCAAAAGAGAAAATCCCCGCACATAACTAGAAGAAAGACACCGAATAGACGAAATATCCTGGACTCGAAAATCTACTTACAGAACCGCTAGGAAGTGAATCCACAGTATATCCACCTCTAGTATAATCTGGGCAAATTATTTTCCAGAAGAAGAATAAAGCAAAAAACAGACTTCTAGGAACATACTATACATTAAAATTATTCACCACATTTGCATACCTGTACCCATAAATTATATTCCATTGCATTTGCAGGTACAACACAGTTGACATCGAAACTTACTTCCGCTTCACCCCTTTTTCGTTAGGGTTTTAATTAGGCATTGAAATGCCCGAGGGCGAAAGGAATTGCGGCATTGTGTTTCTATTATTTTTCTAATAATGAAACTGAAATAATTTGAAATCTCTTTAATAGGGTTTTATTCTTTTAACGGAAACTGTTGGTTCTAGCGGCCGTTTTAATTTTATATAATGGAAATGGAAAACTATAAAGAAATATACTTTATATGGAACTTTTTGTTAATTACTTACAAAAGAGTTTGTCTTCAAATTTTGATGCAACGAGACAATTATACATTTTTTAAATAGCCCTCTTCTAGTAACTAAAAATGAGTAGGTAAAAGCGAATTGATCATCAAACTAAATGTTATGTAAGTACTAATGAATAAATGAACAAAATAATATAACGATTACAGTCTAAACTGATTTAAATGGCTAACTGAGCCTGTAACGGAAACAATACCTTCACATTCAAATAACGAAAACTACGCATACCGACTCAAAAAATTTGATGCTTTAAAATGTAGTAACAACTTTGGAAATCATACTTTACATCTCCCATGTTTCACACCGCCATCTGAAGGAGGTATTAAAAAATATTCAGTTTGCCGACACTAGATCATCTCTCCTTTATTGATTCTGGAAGGGATGCAAATTAGGGATACAGCTTCCCCTTGTGCTATATAGGTGGCATGCATTTTTAAATTCTACTAAAACAACCCTTTTCCTATTAAGAGTCGCCTGGGTTTACAATCGCCAAAATTTATCTAAAGTAAAAAGACGACATTAGAAAAATGTTGAGTTCCCAACTTATAAGGCATTAACTCATGTATGCTTATAACTAAAAAGAAACGTTTGTAAATTTTGGTGTAATTGCAAAACATAAAATAAAAGAAGTTATATGAAACATATACCTTAAAGCAATTCGGATTATCTGCATCATTTTTATGTTTCTAACTTGATTTTCGTGATGGTTTAGGAAATCGCGGAAATTATTTAGGGAACCGATATTTAAGTCCTAACGATAAAAATCAGTTGATAAAAAATACAAAAAATAGTTAAAAAATTGTTTGAATATTGACACTGAGACAAATAGAAAGGTGAACATTTTCTGTTGCGACGAATTCTACGAAAAAACGAATTACAGCAAAACTTGAATTTGAACGATTATGCGTATGACACGAATTAACTCATGTTGAGAAAATAACCCAAATACACAGCAAAAATAAGTTTGAGGTAATCAATTTCGCTCTTTCTAAAACCCAGCAAATAAAAATAATACATTTCTGAAAGATCTTGTTATATCAAATTATCAAATAACTGATTCAGAAGGAAGTTAGTGCAAGTGAATTATTTATAGTTATGTTTTTCTCAAGTTTCGAATTTTTTACTAGGTTATGAGAGAGGTGCTAGAAACTAAACATAGTTTTGGATAAAAGAAGAGTAATTACTGTTTGCTTACCACGAAACTGATACTGAAGTCTTAATTCTTAATATTTTAAAAATATCTGTCCCATAAATTCTCCCATTTCTCCATTCATTAAATTGGAGAGTTGAAACTGTTCGGTCCGTGTTTAACTATTATGTAGAACCCGGAGTTCTATATAAGGCGTGTAAGGCGCAATAAGACACTAGTAGAAATAAAAAATGAATCATGAAAATGAAGATTTTTATATAATTAGAACTTGAATTAACCAACTGTATATCTACAAAATTGAGCTCTGATTTTGGATACAATGAAACGCAAAAGCCCCTATTGGAAAGAAAACTCCCCAGATATAATGCCAGAGTATTAAAAAACGCAACTGTTTAAATTATTCACTTCATTTTGCTTAATTATGGAAATTTTGCAAAGCAGTGTTCATTGGCACGCAGAAACAGTAAACAAGTGTTACCGACCTTCGAAGAAGATAAGCAGCCTCCTGCAAAGATATCGGTGTTTTTCCTTACGCAAGAAATAACACACATTGCTTGATTAAAACAATTATTTATAGAATTGTCTGGATTCAAGACGAGCAAAATCACATATAAAAAGCTGCTGAAGATTCACAGGAATCACAGTCGATCCAGTTCAGTTTATCATGCAGCCTATTTTGCTATTGGCTTTTGTTGCAGTGGCCAGTTGTGGCTCATTGGGATGGCGCACTGAAGGCAATTCTTTTACTTGCGTAGACCCTAACACTTTACATAACATTTCCTTTTATTTGCAGGAAACTTTCAGTCACCAGATTATTTGTCTGCATTGCAACGTGTTAATCGGCTCACTCCCGCTCAGCAATCTGCTCAACTGATTGGCCGCGAAATCCAGCAAACACAGAATGTAATTCAAGAAGGTTTAGGATCAGACCGAGTCATTAAATCTGATGCCGCCCAACAAGCTGCGCATGAAGTGGTTCAACAAGCCCTGCTAGCTAGGCAAGGACAAACAGTTGAAGGCATTCAGCAACTTGAGCAACAGCAAAGAATTGCACCGCAAAACATTGCCCAGCAGGTAAAATTTCTTTGTCCTTTCTGGCACTTCCTCTATCCAGCTACTCCATCTTTGGTAGGTAACGACAAACGAAGCCATCGACAAGCTGCAGAAACAGTTGGTGTTCCAACAAACTGTCGCTCCAGTGATCGCAGCTACTTCTGAGTTGGGTAGAACTCTTGAAGCCGCCATTGAGTCTCAACTGACTATCGACAATGTAAACACTCAGCAATGGGGTCGAGGAAGACAGTCAGACCTTCATTCCGGAGTATTCCTTGCGAAAGTGGAACAACTTGTAGATGAAAATATCATCCAGGAAATCCAAACGTAATTACTTCCCTGATTATTGTTTGAAAAATAATTTACGTACGCATAATTTCAGCGAAATTAGCAGACAACAAGGCCAGATCAAGCAACTTCAGCAACAGAAAATACTCCTTGACCAGCAAAAGCAAAAAATCCAGGTCCAGCTTTCCAGTGTTCAAGAAGATCAGGAATCAAGATTGCAATTGCAAGAAGTCCAACAGCAACTTCAACGGCAAGAAGAAGAACTGGTCAACCAGCAGCTCGCCCGTCAATTGGTCATCCAGCAATTGCAACAAGCGCTTTTTGAGCAACAACAGCAACTTCAACAAGATATTGTAGGTGAACTGCAATCCCAGACCTGGTCAGACCGTGTAAAACGATTTGATCGAAGTGTCGGAATTAACAGGTTCTTGACCCTAACACAGAGAGTTCCGTCCCAATTCCGTCCATATGGTCTCTTTGAAAGTCAAAAGTCGATCCCATGGTCCATCTATGGAAATTCCTGGTCCAGATCGGGAACTTACTCTCCTAGAACTACCTGGGTGGCTTAAACAACCAACTTCAGACTTTGAAGATTGATATGTGGAATTGCTGACAATTTATTGAAATAAACTTGCAATACTATTTAACGCCTTTTTATTTTAGCAGCCAAAAAACGTTTTGCATTTTTTTTTTGAAAATTACTGCTTGGAAACGAAACTTTATTCAAAAAAATGACAAACTGTTCCTGTTTTTTTTTGTTTCACTTGAGTGGAATGTTGAGTGACCGAAACATTCAACTTTCTGTCTTTTAAACAGCAAACACAAAATAATTCAAGGTACTATTGAGTTTTTTAAGATCCGGAAATTTATTTTAAGGTCAAATAGCACCTTCAAAGTAAGACAAAAATTTAAGTGAAGTCTAAAATACCGAAACGAAGATCTTTTTTATTTAACCACTTAAAGCAAGAACGATTCTAAAATTCTAAATGCCTAGTTAGATCCTCGCGTTTATCGGTCAATACGTAGTACCAAAAAATGAAAACTTTACTTTTGTTGAGCGCACGTTTCGGATTTATTTAAGCAATCTTCAGGGCTCCATAACGAAAAACAGAGGTGTTTCTGTCTTAAATATAGAAAAAATTATTTTATAGTCGTCAATGATAAGGATTTGTTTTGTCACTAATATTTAACAAAGGAACCCGCTTAAGAGTAAAATCAAATATACAAAATATCATAAATTCTTGTTTAAATATAACATCTAAGAATATGTTGTATTTGTACCAGACCTAATTTATAATTGCGTCTCTCTCCACATATTATTAAGCATGTCATTGTTTCTTGATTATGTTTTTCAAATTCCCCTTTAGGTATATTTGAAATGTGCCTTTTATGGTTGATTTGCTTTCTACCAGCTTCTCTGCTTTTGTACGCTATTGTTTTATTGACTCAAATTATTTTTAGATATTATATTATTATCATGTATATTATTTGTAAAACATGCAAAAAATCTAGATATGTCTTGTCTTTCTCGATATATCGCCACCTTCCTAATATTGAAGCAGCTTCTGAAAAAAAGTTTCTAGTTTTCTGTTATTTCATACATTTGAGAGTATTTTGGGCTCGTGAACATAGTTCCATATTTTTAGTATTACCGATTCTACTAAGGAAATGCCTCAGATTGTTACACTGACTATTTCATAACAGCTTCACGATGTAACTCATCCAGTTCAGGATATTTGGCCTTTTTAGGCGTTTCATGATGATAATTCTAAACCTTAATAGGGTCTTTCTTGAATCGTCAAAGAGTTTCGTTATGTATTCTGCCAGTCTATTAAGTTTATTTTATACGCAAAAAAGGGTCAGATATTATTTTTATTTTTATTACATTTGAAGTTGCAATTACGCACTTTTAAACGTTTCTTTTACCTGTTCATGCACACAAAAATAAGTGTTTCTGGTTCAAAATTCCATTTCTTTGAGCCAACCAACTCTCTTGCTCTGGGTACGTTTCGGCAATAGTTTTGTAGGTCTCTAGATCTACGCTTCTACATTTCCTACTTTTTCCGTTACTTGTAACAAATTATCCGTCCTTCAGTCCTGATTTTTTGTTCTTTTGCTCCTAAGTATTGCAACAGTTGTAAATCTATACGTAAGAAACTTATTGCACAAATAACATAAAATGTCATAGTATGCATTATGCACTTTCTAGAGTAGGTGATTTGCAGCTAAAAAGTCTAAAGCCTTGTGAAAAAATGTTTCCAACAAATTGCTATTGAAAATGTTTTCAGAGAATTTAATTCGTTTTAAAATTTGAATGACAGCAAAACGAAATTTTAAAAAGCTTTAAATTCATATATAATCATGAAAAATAGCTTGCTACAACATGCTGAATATTTGAGTTTCTATCAGTCTGATATCTCCATAAAAACAATTTATACATAACAATTACAAAATAATTTCAAAATGCGCCGTCACCTTTAGTTGATTTTGTTCCAGAATTAAATAATATAAAGTCGCTTTCAATGCAATCAAACAGTGAAATTTTGCAATTGATACAATACTAAAATAAGAAATTTTTCTCAGACAATCTCCTGATTCCCCTTGAATCTACAGTTATTATCTTCATGTATTTTAAAAGCATTTCTAAAAAGTATAGAAATATAAATCTCCACCGAAAAAATGTGGAAAGAAAATTAAATATAAACCGACATAGAAAATATCTAACACACTTTTATGGTTGATGTTAAGATTAATATAGAACCTAATTTATGGTTATGAAAAATTAGAAAATTAGGCATCATTTGCCTCAATACTTTGATTTTAAATGGAGATTACTTAATAATATCATTCTGAACCATATTAAATCTCAATAATAGTCGAAAAAGCAGACTGTTTGCCATACTGATTACCCATCACTTAACATTGATGCACAATTTCATCTAAGTGTGAAGATTATTTTTTCAGGGACCCAGCCGAGATGCTATTAGATGGGAAAGTAGCTGTCGAACCCTGTTCAACTTCACTACCAGAAAAATAAAATACATTTTGCTGTTTAACAACTGGAAAACATAATTTCCACATTACCTACACGTCCTTTTGAATATAAAAGTATATTGATGCATTTCAATTATAAAGAATCTGCTTCATGAAAAATAGGATATTTAGAAGGAATGAAGAGGAATTTCTCTATTTAGTCCGGAGATAGAGTAGAACTTAATCTGAATTTTATTTAACCTTCAAACTCCCAATAAGAAAACCGCATATGCAGCCGATATTATTGAAAAACATAAGTAACATCTTTAAGTAATTTGAACTTTGAATTTAAACTATTGTTCGGTCCTACATGGTACAAATATAATTAGTAATTCGTCCTCTGCATTAAGCAAAGACATGGCAATTTTGCACGTTTTCAGTAATCGGTGTTGCTGATAAGTAAATAACTGTTTCCGATCGGCTGTCTTTCAAAAACAACACTATTAAAAGATTCTTAATTGGTTTAACGACCGATAAGCAGCCCCCTATAAAGATATCCGCAATTTAATTGCCTCATGCAACAAAAAATAAGAATTACTTTATCCTCCAAATAATTGAAACTGGTTTTATAAAGTGATTATTCGCAGGAATGCATATAAAAAGACACTGAAGAGCCGGCAGAATCACAGTTGAGCCTTTCCAGTTCTACGCAACACAAGCTCATCATGCAAGCTGTTTTCATATTGGCTTTGGTAGCAGTGGCTAGTTCCACCCCATTGGGATGGATCACTGGTGGTAAGATTATCAGCATTTCAGCCCTAAAAGTTACGCAATAATTGAATTTATCTGCAGACAATCTGCAATCATTCCAATTCGGCCGTGTCAACAACAGGTTTACACCTGCCCAACAATCGGCTCAACAGATTGGACGGGAAATCCAGCAAGCTCAGAACGTTATTGAACAAGGTTTAGGATATGACCGAGTGATTAAATCCGATGTCGCTCAACAAGCTGCTCGAGAAGTAGTAGAACAAGCCTTGTTAGCTAGGCAAGGACAGACAATCGAAGGCATCCAGGATCTGGAACAACAGCAAAGAACTAACCCGCAAAACATTGTTGAAAGGGTAACTACTCACACCTTAGCTGGTAGCTTTTACTGGATTCAATTACTTACAGATAGCCACCAACGAAGCCATCGACAACCTCCAGAATCAATTGGTTTTCCAGCGAAATATTGGTCCAGTAGTCGCAGCCACTTCCCAATTGGGCAGAACTCTTGAAGCCGCCATTGAATCTCAACTAACCCTCGACAACGTGGACGTTCAGCAATGGGGTCGTGTTGGACAGTCAGACCTTAACTCTAAAGTATTTCTTGCTAAAGTTGAGCAGCTCGTAGATGAAAACATCATCCAGGAAATCCAAACGTAATTAAGTTTTAAATTAATTTTTAAACATATAATTGACTGAAGCATAATTTTAGCGAGATAAGCAGACAACAGGCCAAAATCCAGCAACTTCAACAGCAAAAGGTCCTTGTTGACCAGCAAAAGCAACAAATTCAAGTGCAACTTATCGACGTTCAGCAAATTGGAGACTTAGGAGTACAGTTGGAGCAAGTCCAACAGCAACTCCAACGACAAGGTGAAGAACTGATCGGCCAACAACTCGCTCGTCAACTGGTCATTCAGCAATTGCAACAGGCGCTCATCGAACAGCAACAGCAGCTGCAACGGGACATTTTGGGTGAATTGCAATCAGAATCCTGGGAAGATGCCTCCAATCAAATCCGTCGAGGTGTAGGAATTAACAGGATTTCCAGCTTAGCACAGAGGGTTCCGGTGTCTCGCCAATACGAAGACCTGAGGACTCAAGTTTGGAACCCATATTCCATCAGTGGAAACTCTTGGTCCAGATTCGGAAACGATTTACGTCGATCTGCCTGGGTCGCTTAAGCGAAGCTGAACTGAATTTGATAACTGGTCGTAGACATAAAGTGAATAAATAGAACCAAACTAGCAACGAAAGCGTTTACTTGAAAAGCGGCCAATTTTACTTAATTGTATATTGCAAATTTATTTTGCCAATATCCAAACTAAGAGATCCTGATCCAGCAGAAACAAGCTGCAAGTTTTACCTAAATAACTTATAAACCGAAACTTTCACGCGATTGAAACAAAAAGTCTATATCAACTACTTTAGAAAATTCCTTCTTTATTTTTGTACAACATTGTTCAGAAAGTCGTTTCAAAAAATTAAACTACATATTCAAATATTCTCATTACATTATCGAACAAACTTTCAACTATGCATAGTGACTTCCAATGGAAAGAATTTTTTACATTAAAGAAAAGTAGAAAATTTAATTTCAATTAATACAAAATAAAAGTAGGAATCTTATTTTTTTTAAATCAATAAAATGCAGATAAATGGAACAGTCATCAAGTTTCCAAGAAAAATTATTAAAATACCAATAAAGTTAAATAGAAAAATATGGCAAACACTCAACACATACTAATCACTACCGCAAAGGTCGAACGAAGCTGTGATAAGACTGCAATAATTATCGGATAATGAATGTAACAAGCACAAGAACGTATATACGAAAATCGCCCTTTTGAAGCGGAAAAACGAAACGGCTTTAGAGCAGGACGATCAACAGGAGATAGTACCTTTTGTCTAACACAATGAATAGAAAAATAATGATGAGATCTCAAGAAATACATCTACTCTTTGTTGATCTTACAAAAGCGTACCACATTGTGCTTGAGAGTAAAGTTTGGAAAATATTGGAAAGAAAACAAGTAGAAACAATACACTAATCGACGCAGCAAGGAGTTATATAGCAAAACAACATCTAGAACAACAATAGGAAAAACTATCCAACGGATTTAAGGTGACTAAACTTCTAAAACAGCTGCCTATCTTCCATACTGTTCAACATATACATAGTTGAGGCTTTCATACTTTTCAGAAAAGAAGTCTTAGAGAATGAGATTAAATATCGAAAACACCAAATTATGTTCATTGACTATGCAGATAATAAGTATGGCCGTTATCGCTCAAGACAAGGACGACCCAGAGTGTTAGTTACCCAGAAAGCTTACTGAAGAATATGAAAAATGGAAAAACTAGAAATAAATTTAAACAAAACCCAATATCTATCTAAGAAGGAACCAGCAGATGATCTGGACCGAGAACATCAAAGATGAAAAACGGATGATGCATGCAAATGTCTGGAAATAAAGATGATGAAGACCTAACGAACTGAGGAAGCCCTAAAGAACATAATAACCAAAGGAAAACAAAGTGTGGCAATTAACACAAATACTTTACGACAATCTACTGGCAGTTGAAATTGTTGGTAACAAGCAGCGAGAAAATCTAGATTAGAGCACGTAAGAAATGAGGACATAAGAACACAAATCAATATAAAAGGAACAATTGTAGAAGATATGGAAAACAGCAGTTAATATTGCACGGGCAAGTAAGACGTATGAGGAAGACCGGCTAAGGAGAAAAGTAATGGAATTGACACATTCACAAAAAAAGGAAAAGAGAAAGACCGCTAACAACATGGATACAAGTAATTGCAAAAGCAACGTCAGTCAGACACCTCAGAAAAATCAGCAGATGACTGGAACCCAAACGCGTTTAACGCAACAACGATTTAAAAAATAATAATAACATAGAATTAAATAGAAAATATGATTCCTGGTTGCTGCTATTCGAAGTAAATCAGCTTGCAGATTATCAAGCCCAAAGATCAAAATCCGAAGCTTTTGGAAGCAAAAATGATGGAGACCAGCTTTGCATTGATCTGAGCATTCCTATTGAAAACAATCACTTGTCTACGTGCAAACATACAAAAAACTTCTTGAGAAGGTTAATAGGAATTGAGATGCTAAAGTATTGAAATGAATGGGCAAATACATCAAACCGTTGGTGTCAATGGTGTATGCTAATTGAAATACAGAATAAAATAACCGTTAGCGCATTATTGAATAACAATAATTGATTCCGCTCATAATTGCTTGGCTATGTAGTGGTGCCCAGAAAAGTAATACTCGAATATATAAATGTTTAATGATCAGTTAGCAGACAAAAACTACCAGGATACTTCAGATTTTTTCCAATCTTAGTTCAATGATTTGAATCGTAATGTATTATCAATGATGTGATATAATATCCAATAACTAATGAGTACTTTTTTAAATTTAAGCTCCAGTGAAACAGTGTTGTTGAATACTAATTGCATTTTACAATTAAGCGACTGGATGCGTTAAAACAATACATGTTCACATTTAAAAGTCATTAAACAATTAAAATAATAAAATTTCTCTAATTTCAGTGAAACCAATGAAATTTGCAAAGTTGTTACACATTAAACAGTTTTCGTGTAAATAATATGTCCAATATTAAACAGACTTATATGCAAATATTTCTATGGATTTTTCATGATCGAGTAATACAAAATACGAAACAGAGCTTAGTAAACCCTCAAAAAGGGAGCGAAATGTTTGCAGTTAAGAGGCCGCGCAAGAATAGGTGTTAACTAAACATTGACTCGAAGGGTGGTTCTGAAATATCCTTTAATATGCATAATAAAACTGGTGGAGGCACTTTTTATGCATAATTCGAACAGCGAAAAGAGCAAATGCCGTGTGGGAAAAGCAGTCTACGCTTTTAATAAGATAGTTTTTATGCAAAGAGTTCTCTGGGTAGGTGAGCCACTATTAAACTGATATCACATTTAAATATCGGTTATCTGTCAAGGAGTGTTCAGCTGAGAACGGTTTAGACCTTTGTTATTTAAAACTAATAAAATTTATACAAAATTTACATGTCTTAAATTTACAAACCTAGCTGCTTGTGCAGAAAAGTTCGAAAACGTGAGAAGTTTCTGAACTGTTCGACTTTGCATTTTGGGAGACTTGCTTGAGCTTCAACTACATTAATAGCTTGTTAACTCCATCAAAAAATGTTGGCAAATTATCAAAACCTCGATATCTAATAACTAATAACCTGGAATTCTTTAGCTCTTTAAACAATTCCAAAAGTCAGAAATTAAGAAAAATGAAAAAAGATAACTGCAAGCGTTTTCAATGCTCCAATTCTTGCTGAGTAGCCAACTGGCATATATGCTCTTAAAACTCTCAAATTAAATCACCATATTAAAACAAAGGGATTTTAATATTCATGTTAACTTGTCATAACGATCAAATAATTTTTGTTACACATGTTCTTGTAGGCCATGCTGGGTGGTCAGCATTATTGAAAGTTTATTACATGTTGTTAAAATATAATGTCCGCACCTGCAGTTAGTAGTTACTAACTCCTGAAGTAAACCCATTAACCAACCGATTAAGTTTAAGTCTAATTAGCAACTCATTACCAAAGTAGACCAGGGGCCCCAGTAAAGAATTGTTTACTGCAAGAAAAAACGGCAATTAAATTTCGTAAGTTCGATTCTCCGATACCACTGATAAGTAGTAATAATTGCAAACTAACGACGTTCTGCCGATGAAAGATAAAGAAAAAAATTAATCAACAGATATTGGCAATGATTAGTCGAATCTACATAACACATATCAGAAATTGTGAGAATGATTAGTGGTTTCCCCTTGCTGAAGAATACATCCGCGTCACTCCAGGGAAAAAGAGGTTATTACGTAACACTAATGGCTTTATTATTATAATCGTTCTAAACCTAAAAATCTATATGTCAGGACTCGAAAACATAGACATTAAAAAGCTATCGATTTCATTCTTGCCGAAGATGATGGATGCGGCTTTCACTCCAGCCCAAAATCAATTTGTCTTTTTCTTCTTTTTGTGCTTAAGGCGTTAGTCAGCAGCCACGTGATGATTTATGTAACAATTTTTAGGATACGTATATAACTACTTGAGATGTGCTTCAATGTGAATAAGGGAGAAGTCTACTGTGATTAATTCGAATTGATTAGCACAAAAAAGTTCATCATATATAAAGTTTGGCCGTTTTAACTGCTAGGGTAAATAGGTCAAGATTTCAAGTTCAATGACTCTGAAATTTCAACCGTAAAAAAACGATTTCCAACATGTAGCCTAGCAGACTTCAAATTTATTCCTTACTGTGGTTTGGACACTTCCTACCTTCCTTGTAGGTATGATAAGCTCAATTAAGTACATAAATATGCAAAAATAAAGCAACTGATCCCATCGGCTCTTAATGAGGCGTGCAGAATGAATGTGGATCTTCTCTTTAGATCACTTTTTGACAACACATCTAGCTGTTTCATAAATATTGACTGTATGACTCAGTTTCATAAAAATTGAGCAAAATGCTAAATCGAGAGCTCTTGAAAAGCAAGTTTCATATGCCGTCGGAGCATTGAATGTGGATCTACACAACATATCCAGCTGAAAGAATCAACATTTCATAAAAATCGCACAAGAGTCCAAGAGCATTGAATTTAGCCTAGAAAACTTTATTCCACTCCATGACTGAAGATGTTCATATTGGGCTGGAAAACCTGTTTTGTTTACGGCGACCATCCAAACTAGTTTGACCCAAATACTTTCGATTGAAAATATTTGCGTGCCAACAGGTGGTTTCTACAGTCAACAAAAAAAAACGAAATTTGAAGTGCAAATGACTCATCCAAACGGCCTATAGACGGCAGAAAACAATTATATTCTGTAGTGCGGTAGTTCTCTGCATTCGGAAAGTGGTAAAATCTCAATATTGCTTGTTTTTTTTTTTAAAAAGAGATTAAATATTTAGTTATTAGCTTACAAAATACATCGTCAGTTCTTTGTTCATAGACGGCATATACAGGATGAATTGATGCCAATAAACCAAATGCGATAGATTATCTGTTATCTGCTAACTGGAAGATTAAAGTTTTCAATTCGCAGTGGAACTTGTTCAAGTGTAGTGTAACCTTTTTGTGGATTTGAGGATTAATGGGTAGAAAATGCAGACCCGGGCGCCAGCTTGCACAAAGCTGGTAAGAATGAATTCTAATCTATACATTTTT